AAATGATCTCCTTCACTAACACTACATGCCAAGCTTTTTTTTGACCTCAGGATGATATGTCATGGAGGATGCTACTGTAGTTGCGCATCTCAAGTCAAGTCCATGCGACTCCTGACTGAGTTCTAGGGCATACTAGGGCATACGGCAGTTCAACAATGAGAGCCTACCTGCTGAGTAAGGAAAACCCTTTCAAGAAATCTTGATGTTACCCGTTTTGCCATTTTTGTTGACCATGTTACTTGTACGGTATTCTCTCACCTAGTCGTCCATCTTCTCTAACCTCCACATGAAAAGAAATATCAAGCACTAAACATCTTTCACTTGTCGAGTTTAGCGCGTTATACGATCTTTTGGAGTGTATGAGGCATGACAAATATTTGTTCAAGAAATGTATTCTTGGACAAGGAAATGTGAGCAGTTGATTGCGAAGGTCGTTGAAAAAAAATATGTGGTCGAAAAGTTTCTAAAGTAGTCTAAACTGGAAGCAGCAATTATTTTGCATCTGCTAATATTGTGTCTTCCTCCTAACGGTTTACTGCCTCATCGTGGCTGCGAGGTATTCCTGGGTGTCGGCCTGCGATGTACAACGAGGAGATTCATCCCCTGGCAGGGTTTCCCAAGCTGAGAAGAAGTCCGGCGTTTCCGTAAGGAAGCCTAGCTAAGAGTAGACTAATACCAGGATCCACCACCGCCATAGTATCAAAGTCGCATGATGGCAAACCTCCTTCTGATCCACAAGGGCTGCGACTGCCTGTAGTGGTGAAGACCTGGGGCAGACTATGGCCAGGCTGACCTCGAGATTCCAAGGAACCATAATGACTTAGCCCGCAAATCTCTGAAAAATGTGCTGGGCCACGCAAAACCAGTGAGGACGAACCGTTCAAGTATCAAGTACCAACTTTGTGCCTTCTACAAGAAAACACGACTTTTCCGGATGAAAGAGTGCCGTCATTAGACACGTGAATTCTCCTACTGCGTAAAGGGTAGTGGAAGCAAACGGTAATAAATGCAAAAGGTTGAGGTAGTAATCTGTTATGCAGACGATGATATTTTCTTTATAAATCAGTAATATAGACGTTTTGTGATGGGTACGATCGCTTCCTCTACGTAGGCTCAAAAAAGTTTGATGAGACAACGGCATCACACATAGATTGTTTACTGTCACGATAGGTAACAAAATCACTGCATTTGGAAGAAAAAGGCGTCCTTGTGGATAAAACATTGTTGAGCAGATGATACCCTCATCTTTTCCAGCAGCACCATCTTCAACGAGAGAGAGCCAATCCTTAATGACCTCTAGAAACAGAGGGATCGCACTGCTAATACGATCCAGTTTATTTGCAACCTTTCGTGAAGGATGAGTCTAAAGTCTAAGGATGAGAACGGCTTTCCTACTATGGAGATTAGGTTTCATGCTTATCTTCAATTACAGAAAATCATGGATAATGTATTCGTTTTGTGCTTGCATTCTGGGTTCATCACGAACGTTAAGTGGCAACATTCGAAGTCCCAACCCTGTTTTCGGAAATACCCTTCAAACTGGCTATCGTAATTTGCAACCTTCGAAAAATATCCGGTCTTCGCAAACCGTCAAAAAGTACATCTAGAGCGCTGCGGATGGATATGCGATCGGCTGATTCGATAACAACCGGGCTTACACAACGGTAGAATTGAGCTTAAGCGATAAGAAAGGATCATTAGAAAGAGAGTTGCCCAATTGTTCATCTTAGGCAGCTGTAACTGGATGCAAGTGCACCAATGAGAACTGAAATCCGGAGACATCACGTTGTACTAAACCGACCACCTCGATCTGTTATTTGGTCATGAGAGAACGTAATGAACAGGAACCAGGTGTAAAAATGTCTAAACTTTTTTTTAGTTCTCTTCGAATGAGCGAATTCTCGTTAACGTTGAGTTAAACGCCAGATTATTCTGTTGATTGGTACCTCTAATTGACCGTTTAGATAAAATAAAGGATAAAGCTCTCGGCGTTGATCAATCGCGAGACCGCGTAGAACAGATCCAAATCCAAAGAAACGTTCAGTTTAAAAGACCATTTTGCATGCTCTATCAGTACTGAAGTTAGACGTCATGAACTTTGTTAGCATGAAATAATGGGAATACAGATATGAGAAGCCAGCAGCCATGGAATTTACCTATGTTCCTTTCTCATTTATGTGGTTTGACCTACTGCTTTTCTACGAAGTCTAGAACATCCTGGTGGTAAGTTCAAACAGCAAATCTCATTACGATGAACAATTCTCACGATTTCTTATGGTGAAAACCAAGGAAGGCCTTACCATGGCACCGGTAATTTGATGTCCAAGAAATGCCATATCACGGCAACGCAAAGGTCGCAAGACAAACCACGCCAATAATGGACTGCTCCCTACAGTCCTTTATTTTACTAGTAGCAATATCAATACTAGTAATAGTTATATTATGTTATTATATATTATGTAAGCATAAATGTTATACAACCACAACGTTGCTGAGATATTTGCAAAACTCTGGACCGCAGGTGTCTATGGTGGGGAACGAACGCGCTATTGTCCTTTCCGGGGAGTAACGCGTTCACCACCACACCATGCGGGTCCTTTGTTTCGCACGTCTCTCAGCTATTTCTATCGATCTTTTTGCCACAGCAATCACCCGTCAGCGGGGTTGATCTGGGGAGCGCAAATCGGCATAGAACCCAGTTAAGCTATGGCTGTAGTTGAAATCACAATGTTTAACGTTTTGTTTTCTGCCTTCTATAATTTTCATGGCAGGTTACTAAGTAAGCGAAATACAACCACAACGTTGCTGAGATATTTGCAAAACTCTGGACCGCAGGTGTCTATGGTGGGGAACGAACGCGCTATTGTCCTTTCCGGGGAGTAACGCGTTCACCACCACACCATGCGGGTCCTTTGTTTCGCACGTCTCTCAGCTATTTCTATCGATCTTTTTGCCACAGCAATCACCCGTCAGCGGGGTTGATCTGGGGAGCCTGCCATGAAAATTATAGAAGGCAGAAAACAAAACGTTAAACATTGTGATTTCAACTACAGCCATAGCTTAACTGGGTTCTATGCCGATTTGCGCTCCCCAGATCAACCCCGCTGACGGGTGATTGCTGTGGCAAAAAGATCGATAGAAATAGCTGAGAGACGTGCGAAACAAAGGACCCGCATGGTGTGGTGGTGAACGCGTTACTCCCCGGAAAGGACAATAGCGCGTTCGTTCCCCACCATAGACACCTGCGGTCCAGAGTTTTGCAAATATCTCAGCAACGTTGTGGTTGTATTTCGCTTACTTAGTAACCTGCCATGAAAATTATAGAAGGCAGAAAACAAAACGTTAAACATCATAAATGTTATATTATTATATAATAATGAGGGAAGTGGCGTATGTAGCTCAGTGGTTACGGGTGCCCTGTAATTCATCTAGGTTCGATCCTATGCGCCAGATTCACCAAGCATTCCATTCCTCCAATGTCGGTAAATTGGTAGTAGACTTGTCTAGGAGCATAGCAGGACCTACTCGATAAATCGGCAGCCCACCGGAGTCATTGCATAGGTCAGGTATGCATTCAATCACCTCTAACAGTGCTTAAAAACGTCGAATGCATGGCACATCCCTCAAGGATTGACCAACGTCGAGAGCTTTAACCTTTTTATTACGACAGCGCATGGAGGGCACAGCAGTTAGCGATGCCGTTGATCAGAAGAAAAGGCACTAATTCGAACCTCACCCTAACGCTCTCCTCCAGTCCACGTGGGAAAGCCTTAGCTCGACTACCTCCAGGATTGCAAGGAGAATCGATCCGACCAGAATCTTACACCTTTCATAAAGAAGACGAAATCAAGTAGAAGCCGAAATGTTACGCAAATTTTTCGAAGACCATTGCACACGATGAATGCGACAAAAAACGAATTGAATGCAAGGAGTGCTGTGATATGCACAATAAATGTGGTAGTGGAACATGTTTAAGAAAAAATATATATGTATATGACAATATTGCGCGAAAAAAAATGACAATAACAATAACGGTGGTAAGAACAGTAATTAATAATAATAATAATAATAATAATAATAATAATAATAATAATAATAATAATAATAATAATAATAATAATAATAATAATACAATTAAATGGTACTAGCAATTTCTAACTGTTCATTTTATTGATTAAATGAGCGAAGATTACGTGTATCACATTGCACAGATCCCAGTACTCGTTCATTCAATAGGTTTTTCTGTTACGGGATAACGAGGAGTGAGCTTATCCCAGATAATTTTGTTACCAAATCTTCCGACTCTGGAAGAAAAAAGGGCTTCGTTGGCCAGGGTTGGGATCAAACTAAGGCCTCGATGGATTGGCCGTGCACATAATGAACAAGATCACTAACACTGCGCTTTCCGCTCCGAGTATAATGATAAAGTGTAGTAACGATTACATCAACTATGAAGTTTAAAGTTTTTCTCGTTCGAACTGGCATTAATTCTTTTGATCAATTTTTTTGCGTATGCATTACAACTGGTCGAAAAGATAGTTATTTTTATAAAAGAAAAAAGAAAAGATTTTATAAAAGCTATTTATATTTTTATATATATTTTTTTATAAAAGATAAATATTTTGCAATCTGCCAGACTAATTACTGGGCTAAACTTCAAACACTACAGAACGGGTTTTTAAAATTGCTCCAATTCTTCAAATTCACGCTTTAAATGATATGAAAAGAGGTAAACAAACGTCCAATGATTATTTCATCATTCCAACATTACCGATTTCTCTGTCTTCACAACCGTTATCTCCTCGTCCATCGTTTACTTTATTTAAAGATCTTGACAAAGTTTGAGATCGCACTCTTCTTCCTATCACTGGCTTTAAGTGTTTTCAGGTTCTCAACGAGGGTATAACCTACTTTGCGGCTCGTCCATAAAGGCAGCTCTGATATTGTCCTAAACAAAGGCAGTTCTTCGTACCCGTGTAGCACCAACTGACATACATACAATGGACAACTATATCACCGTGGATCCGTTAACAAATAAGCCCATTGAATGCTGGAGAAAATATCAGCGACAAGGTCGTATCTCAGAGCCTGCGAAGACCTTAAGGTGAGATAGCGGAAAATCACGTAACTACAATCTGTGAAATGACAAAGATGAAACTACCAAGCCTCTTGAAATACGTAGTCGAATTAATCCCAGAAATTCTAGCTGCGGTATCCAAAAATTGGACAAAGTGACCAACACAGTTGTTTGTACAACATATTCATTACCGTATGACTCATATGCAACTCTTTCAAATTCGGCTTCAACTTTAGATGCGCCAATCATAGCTCACAGTTTGACTTACTATTTGGAACTATAACTATTAGAATGTATAAGATGGTGTTCTCATTTTCTTTGAGCCTGCAAACTCTCTCCTTTTTCCCCTTCCACTTTTTTTCGTCAAGACTCACATTTCGAGCATCAAAGTGACGGAATAAGCAGGACCCATGAAGCAGGACATGGAACTGTCTCCGGATGCGTTGTTGAGACTGCAAATTGCTGCCCTCCGTATTAATAATTGCAAAATTGTCACCTTAATAGCACTATTAATATCAACGAGATACAGCCTAGTTAATACGTATATACGTATATATAAATGTATATATATCTATATATATAGTGCATATATAAGTATATATGTGTATTTTATACATGCACATTTTATGTTTATATTTAAATATCCATTTAGAGTGACAGACAATTTTCTTCTAAAGGTTTTTCAAGTTCACAAGCTTTCAAATAACGAATGGTCAAGAATATTCGCAATAGTAAAAAACTCGTATGCTTGTTAGCTGATTAATGTTTTACTTCGTTTAGCACATTAGATAAATTTAACCACTGAAACCCGATTTCTTATCCTGGTAATAATTTGCGGACCACAAAACAATGGGAGATTGGTTTTCCGGGGCGCGAACCGAACCAAGGATTATGTGCAAAGCAGGACCCCTCTAACCACTGCACTACAATTGTTACAAATCAAAAAAGCATGTTGATAATGATGTTATGATTGCAGGCTTGATACGCCAGTCTTTGACAACAAAGTGAGATTCGTGTGCATTTCCGATACGCACGACAAGCTGGACGAGGTAAGTGCTTCCGTCCGAACTAATTTTCGAGAACTGTCAGCATCACACTGTACTAAGTGCGAATCGATCAGTAGTGCTGATTGCGGCAAAAATCACGAACCTAAAATGACCTGGGTATTCGGGTACACCTCTCCGAAAATCACTTTCTATTTCTTACAGTTATTATAGAAATACCTTATACATAATAATCGAAAGTGATAAAAGAATAAAGCTCTCGGCGTTGATCAATCCCCGAGGGATGCGCCAAGCATTCGACTTCACTAAGTATCGTTGGAGGTAACTGAATTCATAACTGGCCTTCACAATGACTGGCGGTTTCCTACCGATGTATCGAGGCAGTGGTGCTAGCCTCCCTGACAAGTCTGGTACCAATTTACCGACCCCGGAGGGATGAAAGGCTTGGTGGGCCTTGGGTGCGGGGATCAATTCCACGTGTGTGTTGCAGAGCGCCTCCGACCACTGCGCCACGCACGATTTACAGATAAATGCCAAATTTCTGAATCTGCGATAGATGTCAAATAATACAACAAGTGGTGAACCATGAATTCCAACCGAATCGACCACAACGTTTTCGGTGTAAAATTCAATGTAATTAGTATAAATGGCTCCAATGATACGTGATAAATTGAGGCTAGAAGAGATATTGAAATATTTCCTTATGTAATATAACAAAAAAAATTTTACAAAAAGCTCTTGTCTTATGCAAGAGACCGATATCGGGAATGAAGTAACTAACGAAGGTGCATGCAGCGCAATGGTTAGAGACGCCCTGCAATACACATAGGATCGTCCCCAGCGCCCCAGGCCCGCCAAGCACTCCATCCTTCCATGGAGGGCAAATTGGTACCAAACTTGTCTGAAAGGATAGCAGAATTGGCTCGATGCATCCGCTGGCCACCGCGAGTCATTGTAAAAACCAGATATACATTCGATCATCACCAAACGATTCCTAATAAAGTCGAAAACATGGCGCATCTCTCAGCAATTGATAAACGCCAAAAACTTTATTCTTTTATTGTCAATGAACAGATATTACTAAATTAATCCTACTTCATATCAAATCTCTTCACTATCAAAGATGGGAACTAGATCCTTCATTGGTAGTATTTAGAAGGCAATAGTGTGAGTGCCTTTAGTTTATGAGTAATTTCAGCATTATATAATCAAGCATCCTCTTGTGTTCTGAATCGATTGAATGCTTCAATCTTGTGGGGGACTTACCGATTTTTCTTATTACACTCGAATACTGGTTATCAGTGCACTTTCTGATAGAGTGATCAGTCAGCGAAAGAGAAGAAAATAGATAGAGTATGAAGGGAAACGAACATTAAAATTCTATTATTCTTCTTCAGCTAGGTAGTAAAACTTAGGTTGTGACCGTTCATTCCGATGTTTGGCATGATACCCTCAATATGGAGCATTGTTTTCCCACATTCCAAAGAGGATTTTTTCCGCAAAATTGTGTGGGCATCTAACAACTGTGGTACTATTCTAGCCAAAAGTTTCACTTCCTAAAGTAAGTAGGAGATATACTAGAACCTTGACTGCAATACATGACCTTCGCCATAAACTGCGCCTACTTTTTCACCGGTTGTGGGCCGTATTGAAATCAATGCGCATTGCTGCGAACGTGTTGGCACGAGGACTATGGTGCCTCGGTTGCCATCCTAGACGATGATGACAAGATCCTTACCGCTCACTGCTTACCATCATACGCGTCGGCCTGACTCAAGAGTGAAAAACTTCTACTACGCTACCTTTGCCACAACATTCCCTGCTCTTTCGTCCAAAACAGTAAAAATCCTATCCATTATTGCAAAAGAATGGAACAGCTTATTCAGTTTTTGTCGATAATTCCTGATGGTGATGTTCTGATTCATGCTGGAGATTTCACAAACTATGGCGATCTTGGTGAAGTAATAAAATTCAACGCTGAAATCGGTGAGTATTGCAATTCTCTTGAAGACACTTAGGACCGAACTTCTCATCAACTCATTTTTAAAAGCCTATACGCATGTCAAAAGAGTAATAAAAGGTGAAAAAAACAGATTTTTAAACAGCAACAATGTTGCTGAGGAAGTGAAGCAGAGAGAAGGAGAAAGGACAAAAGTGCCTGTCAACTTATTATGAAACATTCGTAAATCGTAATAAAGAAAAAGAAAAAAAGAAAATAAAGTAAAAGTAAATCGTAAAAACAATGTCAGCTTTCGACTTTTAACTAGAAACACAATATTTCGCCTCATATTAACTTAACTTGGCCCGGAGAAAACGATTACATTCCACATATTTATGCCAGGAACGTGTAAAGCTATGTATTCCAATGTTAACTTCCTATTTCTTGCCTACTACAATTTTTCACGGCAGAGTATTCTGTGAAATACCATTATTACGATAGCTGAAATACAAGCGATACGAAGAACCCGCATGGTGTGGTGATGAACTCGTTAGCTCCCAGAAAGGGTAACAGCGCGTTCGTTCCCTACCGCAGACACTTGCGGTCCGGAGTTTTGCAAATATCTCAGCATCACTATAGCTATCTATTCCATCATGGTGAAAGTTCAGGTTTTCGGGACAAATCCATTTCCTGAAATCGTTTGCTGACACAAGTCCAGTTGTTTAAGATTTTCCTATCAATTAGTTGTTGCAACAAATGGTATTAAAGTAGTAAGAGATCCGCTGATCTGAGAGAGAGAGAGAGAGAGAGAGAAGAGAGGGATAGAGAAGGAGGATGTTATTGTCTATTCAGGAGTTGTCGTACTACATTTTCAACTGAACCATGTTTCTCACGGACCTAACAGACCTTGGGTAAATTTTCTCGATAACATAACTGTGCTTCATTTAAACAGTAACCTAGACAGGATTTAAGTAGATGGCACCACTTGCCAAGCAATGAGCACCATGACAATCTTTATTTGAAGTCAATTTGGCTTCCCAAAATGTTTTGGTCATATCTGGCCAATACGCACAACGTCGTCAGCTCTACAGAATCTACTCTTCGTCGTAAATCACAACGTGATTAAGAGGTAGGTCGTTGTCGTTGCATATGAGGAGCATCACGTCCTTCATAATGACAATGTGGCACTCACTTTTCGAGTGTTTCTGACTCTTCGTTTCGATTATTGGATCTAGAGGCAGTTGTCTTAATATGCTTACCACTTCCGAAGTCTCTTTAATTGTTGTCCTGTCATATACATCAATCAACTTCTTTAACTAATCGTCACTGATGATAGCTTTTCTGACTGGCTCTCATCACGATCAGGAAACTTAAAACGAAGGCCACACCTTGTGTTACAGTTATGTATGCCGACGGTGTCTTCGCCAACTGTAATTTTGGTGATAAAAGAGCATAATCCACATACTAACAGACCGGTTTGGTTTCTCGAAGTGTGCTGCTAATTTCTTGATCCACGAAATAGTTGAGTTGGGAACTTCTCATATATGTAGAACAGACTATAATGGACGAGAAATTATCGTTACTAAAAAAACATTTTGGTCTCAAATACCGTAACGTGGCATACGATGTGAACACAAACGCATAGAACCTCCCGTAAGGACAGAGGATAAATTATTGAGGTGGTGAAAACAGAGGGTTCTCTAACCCCATCTGTAGCACTTCGTTTTCATGACAGGACCATGTCAGCTGAACACTTGTTTGTTAAAATATGTTCACCAAGTACATAATGACTAGTTTATCAAGGTTCCAAACTGAGATGAATGGACTCGAAGTTCGATGCATTGGTGGTTGATTTTCAGGATAGATTCCTTGAATATTCAATCTATAAAAGACTCTCATATGTTGTGATATGGCTTAAAAGTGTTCTACTTCCTCTATTTCACATCCTAATATGCTGTTTTCCTAATTTTCTTTTACTACTTTTTCTCCAGTAAAGTCCAGCTTAATTTTACAAAATGTTTTGTCACCCACTTGAACTATCGTGTGGATGGATGTAAATAATACTCCTCGAGAATATACCAAGGTCATTAACAAAACGAAGATGGAAAACGAAGTATCTGCACAAACAAACGCTCTTGTCCTCTTTGCCCCACTTGAGTGAGATTGCATCGTTGCAAATAGACTTGCCCTATAATTTGAATGATTCAATTTTCTACTGTAATGCGAACTAGAACATGTTTGGCGAGGTTAGGAACGTTCACAGAAGTGAGCTATCCTTCCCTACGGAATTGTGAGAAGGTGGTAGAAGTGGGTAAGTTAGACATATGGAGCACAGTGAGCGTTGCATATGACAAGACCTTCCTCCTAGAACAGCTGGAAATTGATCAACTGCAACTAAAAATGTCATTAGTCTTTTGTCTCTTGAATTACATTGCACGTTGCATGAAAATTAGTACGGCGCGCAAAAGGTATCCTCATAGAGCATCGATTATGAGATAACTAACACTTTCTTGAGGACTTTTATCAACGATGCAACAGGTGGTGGAAGTAATAATTTGTTCCCACAACATACGGCTAACATTTGACTTGAAAGACACAACAAATCGGTAAAGCCTTATGAGAGCTTTGACTGGCTAGATCCCTCCAGATGCGAGGTCCTGACTAAATGCACATGAAAACTAGGAGATACACCTCTAGAAACAACTTTAACAATGTACTTGCAAGGCAAGAAGTAGTTTCCTTGCTTTGCTGCGGATTCGTAATGAAAAGGTTTTACATGCAAGTTGACCGTGATCGCCGTCATGTTTTTCAGTTATATTACAGTTGGAAGATGCCCAGGAGCGAACAGGTTGTTTCACATCAAGTGCTACATTCACAAACCGCCAAACGTTTTCACTATGATACTGAGTTCGCTCTCATCCTGAACGACATTTTCGGGATGAATATATCGTATGCTTTGTAGTTGAACATCCAAAAGCACCTATATATAGTTAGTCAGTTGCTGAAATACTTTCGGTTAACATCACATAATCATAATCACCAATCCAGGTTCTTCATTAGTTCATTCCCAATTATTTGTTTATCTATACTGTGGAGCATTTTTCTAATAGCTGATTTGTTAAGGGAGACTCCCCCACAAATACAAGTTGGTTGTTCCGGGGAATCATGAATTGGGATTCGAAGACGGTGAGGCGATGAATGAGAAGCTGTTGGCAGGGCTGAGCATGCTTGGAATAAGTAAAGCCTACGAATTGCTCAGTAACTGCACGTATCTATGCGATCGGAGCGTTGAGGTTGGTGATTAAATGGAACTAGAGGCGATTCGAATGCCTCCATTCAGTGATAATCCGGAGTCCTGCGTAAAATCACTGCTTGATTGGGTAAGAAACATGAAAGCACTCACTGAAGAAAACTCATGTATTCTTTTCCTAAGCTTCTTTTAAAATCGCCAATTTCGTTCCTTAAGTACACTCACTTGAAATACAGCCAATCATAATTGTTCATCTAACGTAACAACAGTCCTCTCGAATTAGATGAGATTAACTAAAATCGATACCTCGTATTAAACGAAAAACTAAAAGCCTCTATTATAGAAAAGCTTCCTATGCTAAAAATTCGACATGACCTTTAGCTAAATAAAGTTTTCAAGGTGTATGGTATAAAAATCTATGGAGCACCATGGCACTCAATGCCCGGGTACTCATTTTATCGCCCGCGCGGACAGAAGATCCTCCATAAATGGAATCAAATTCCGGCGAAAACCGACATACTGATAACTCACATACCGCCTCTGGGTGTGTTTATACTCGTTTCTGCGTTTCGACTTTTGAAAAATGGTTTTTAATGACACAGCATGGATGTACAATATGTAAACTCGCACTCCGTTGTCTACGAGAGTATTCGACTATTTCCACGCCATTAACTTTCAAAGCAACCAAAAAAAACTTTATGGCGCAAAGACTACTCTTTTTGAGGTACCCATGTGGCTCACTCCTAGAATTTTTAGGCCACGGTGATTTCAATTCATGGAACAAAATGGATGGTATTCTTGCCGGAGACGTGGAACTACTGAACTCCGTTGAACAACGCATCATGCCAAAATATCACGTCTTCGGCCATGTACACCAGGTTGCTTTAGTTACTGCAGTAATACTGTACATGTTATGATATCTGGACAATTCTCAGATGCACGGTGCAACCACCAATGGCACTACGACGTTCATCAACGCTTCGTTATGTGATCACAAACTCCGCAGCGCTTACGATCCTATAATTTTCGATCTGCCTCTACCAAGCGGTGTAACTAAATAAATGATCTTAAAGTGGTGATAGAAATAAAGACACAGGAATTCTGAGTAACATTGTAGCTGACTCGTATGAAGGACCCGGATGGTGTAGTGGTGAAGTGCGCTGCTCCCCGGTAAGGACAACAGCGTGTGTTCGTTCCCCACTGCATACACCTGTAGTGCGGAGTTTTGCAAATAACTCAGCATTTCATACGAGTTATATTTCGCAACATACCCTGCCATTAAGAAGAAAAAGGCAGTAAATAAAAGGTTTAAATGTTTAACGTTTTGTTTTCTGCCTTCTATAATTTTCATGGCAG